CTGACATTAATTTCCTGGTTTGCATACTGCTGGAGGAGACTGGAACGGTACACAAGAGCTCCCTGTGCAGTTTTTGAAAACTTCCATGAATCTATAATTATTTCAAATTTAAAATGTTTTTAAATTACACAAAATTGTCATAAAACTCACAATCATGGATCATCTCCTTGGGCTCAGCTCCTTGGTTCTTCCAGTGTCTACCTCACAGAGAGCTCCTGCCCTAATCTTGTAGTTACCTTTTCTCCCATCTCTCCAAGAAACACATTCAGAAACAGAGAAAAGCTACTTTTTTAATGTGACTTGTAAGAGTCAGAGTTTGCTAAGTATGGCTAGACAAAATCAAATCAGCGATGAGAAAACGGATGCAAGTTAGTGTAACGATTTTTAGATCACTAGTAAATGATCAAACTTTATAAGAAAAATTCAAAGAACAGCAAACCCCTGGCTCACACTGTCAGTGCGATAAATTCTGTACCGCTTACCTTCTCCTGTCACAGAGTGGGTGAGGGATGAGTGACATGAAAGCAGCGCATCTGAGAGTGGATGCTCTTTTACTGGCTGCAGCTAATGCACTCAAGTCTAAAGTCAGCAACATAAACACACGTTCAATATGACAAAATCCAGTGGAGTGTCACAGAATCAACTTAAGCGATGCTAGTTTTGCCATAATCATCCATCTGCCTCCACCTCCACCCTGTAACTTCCTGATCTCCAAGGTCTAGGATGGAGAGCTCTCTTCCCTCTGCCGTGCTCTTCCTTCCCTCCCTCCCTCTGAAAGTCTGTCAAGTTTCCAACTCTGAGTTTTAGTCACACTTGGTCCCTGTAGCCAGGTATAAGATTATTTGCAGAAATAGATTTCTTAACTTACGTTTCCAATTTTCTGTCGAAGAGGTTTCCAGACATAGCCACGGCTGTTCCATCCCCGCCCCCTCCTTTTCAGCACTCTAGTTCTTCTAAGTCTCACCTGCTGAGATCCTTGCATATTACAAAGAGAAACATAATGCACTAAACCTATGCCTGGGTTCAACTCTTTTATAACTTCTGGTAGCAGTTTAGCTTCAAAGAGCATTGAAGGAACAATGAAACCATTAAAAGTGCAGGCAGAGAATGCCTGATTACGGCTTTATACCGCATTTATTCTCTGCCCACCGGTATCAAAATGTCCTTCCCACAGTCTCTGGAGGTGGCGTGGAGGGGGGACCGTGAGGTTGTGCTTGTGAGCACCCGGTGGCAGTGGTTCCGTCCCTCTCGTGCCACAAGCGCCTCAAGCATCAAAAGCATTCACTCTTGAGAGGATTTGCTCTCGAGCCGCCAACAGAAAGGCTCTCCGGTGCATCAAAGAACGAGAACGAAGACACAGAAACAGTTCCTCCGAGGAGAAGGTTTGGAATCATTAAAGTTGTATCAAGACTGAGATACCAGGATGGAGAACGTGCTGGGATGTGCATTCATAGACTTGTGGCTTCAGCTTGGCAGTAAGTCGGAAGTTAAGAGGTGAGAACACAAGGGCACATTTGTCCAGAGCTGAGAAGAAAAGTGGGTTTAATCTCAGCTCATCCCAGGTTTCTTGGTGGAATTCTTCAAAACTGCCAAACTGAAAGCTTTGTTTCATTTCTGATTTTGTTTTCCTGAACAGGGTTGAGCGGAGAAGACCAGGTGGAGCAGCGTCCTCAGACCCTGAAAGTCCAGGAGGGAGAGGACAGCCGCAGCCTCAGCTGCAGCTACACGGCCAGCTCTTTCAGGGGAATGCAGTGG